AGGGGGCAGAGGCTGCAGGAGTGGGGTGGGGGGAGGAGATGGGGAAGAGGAGAGAGACAGGAGAAAAGTGGGCCTGAGGCTGTGGTGAAGCAGGCATAAGGGGGGCAAATGGCAGAGAGGAACAGACAAGAGGGAGCAAGCTACCTGCCTCCTCTACCACCTGCACCCCTAAAGCCTATCCTCCTGTTTCTCCCTACCTGCCCTACTGCTTGCCTCCCCACTTCCCCTTGCACCCTCTGTCCCTTTACTACTTTCCTCACCACCTGACCTCCAACACCTGCCCCCACTGCTGTGGTAGTGGGAACAAATGTAAGATGATTCTCCAATAATTCATTTCTATACATTGGAAAATTATAATAAATATATACATTCTCCATGGATATAATCTAATTATTAGGGGGACATCTTAAAATAAGGGTCATCTTGGATTTGGGCAAACACGGTAGTCTAAACATTTCAAAGAAGTGCACATATCTCATTGTACTCTAACAATGTACGGCACTTTGGAATCACAAAGTGGTGTAGTGGAAAGGACACTTGACTGGGATAAAAGAGACCTGGTTCTATTCCTGGCTCCACCATCTGCCTGCCAATCACTTAACCTCTTCAGTCCAAAGTGTCTCCATCTGTTAAGTGGGGATAATGCTCCACAGCATTTTTAAGATCTACTGATGAAAAGTGCTACACAAGAGCTAGATCTTATTACCAAGCCACAACAGCATACCAAATGCAAACCTATATGACAGGGGTGGCCAGAGTTACTCACTCTGGGAGCCAGATCCAATCCTTCACCAAAGCCGGAAAGCAAGGGGCGAGGGGGTGCTGAATGCCCCAAAGTGGAGGTGACCCCCACCACCACTGAGCCACTCCGGGAGCATGCCATGGGGTAAGGGTTGCGGCTGCAGAGCAGGGAGGCAGGGGGGAGGCTTCTCTGCCAAAGCCCTGCCCACTTCTCCTCAAGGCCGCAGCCCAGGGTCCCCCAGAGCCACCTCAGGGAGAAGTGGCCAGGGCTTCGGCAGAGAAGTCCCAGAAAGCCGCAAGAAACGTGCCGGCAAGCCATGGTTTGGCCACCATTGCTATATGACAATAACTGCTTCAGTTATCATTAATTCCTAAACACAAACATTCTCCCCGTCTCCATTCCAACAACTAGGAAATTCACTAACCACCCCTACCCCCCAACAGTTTTCCTTGCACCACAGATTCTGGCTAGATGCTGAAGCTACCTCTCAACACGTTTCAATTCAGGCACACTTAATGTAATGATTGTAGATGGGCTGTATAAATAAATTTACAGTGGCTATTGCCAGTTTCACCAAGGCAGAGTTAAGGCTATGCTGGCACATACCATAACTTTCCATTTCCTGCTTTTCAAATGTTTGAGTGTCACTAACCTCTGCATTCTGCTAGGGCAGGACTCAGTGATCACACTGCATGCACAAGCTTTTTTCTCTGTCAGAAGAGACTTGGGTATGTAATCCAGATAGAAGTACCATACTGAGTTGCATAGCACATGTACACGGGTGTATGGGGAGGTTCCTGCCACTGGACACCCTGGGGGTCCATTCCCCTCCCCCACCTGTGCTCTGGGCACAGTGGGCAGCCTGCAGCAGCAGGTACCTCGTCCCAAGCACAGGATGGGTGGCCATGGGTCCCCAGGGCCTCCACCAGGCTGCATCCAGTGGTGGGAGCTCCCCTACGTGCCCCTGGCTGACCAGATCTTCCCAGACCTGGCTGGGCCGGGGTCACCCCCACGCAAGTCCCCATGGCTGAGCTGAGCTACACCCACATGGCCAGCTGCAGCAGGGCTCAAGGTGCAGTGGCAGCAGCCTCTGGCCCTGCAGAAATGGGGGGGAGCCCCCCCCGTGTTCCTGGAGGAACACTCTGAGCTCCAATCCAGCCAGCACCTGGGTCCTGCTTACCTCTCCCTGCTTCTGACTGGGCGACACAGTCAGTTGCTCACTGTGTTGGCCTCGACCTGGCCTCCGTCCCTCCTCTGCCCCACAGACTGACTTGCTGGGGCTGTGGGGGCGGGTGTGCACATAACGTGCATGCCCAGCTCTCTCTCAGCCCAGGATCAACCAAAAGAGACTCCAGGATCATTCTGTCAATCAGGATTGATGGGTTGGTGACCACTGCCATAGATTATAAATGTTTTAGGGCTGAAACTGTCATGCCTGGACAGCACACAGCACAAAGGGGCAAGAGCCCATTAATACTAGTACAATATAAACAATAAAAAACACTTTGGCACCTTTTTCAAAAATAAAAAAAGACAAACTGATTCAGAGCAAAAACAGTTAAAAACTACTACTAAAATCACTTCTCTACTTCCTTCCCTGTTACAAAGTTTATAGCAAGTTGCTTAAATTAATATCTTTACCTTGTGCATTTTTAATTTAAAAATGGAGATAAATCCATACCTCTTGCATGCTTCAAGAAAACAGTGTTAAACTAAGTAGAAATTGATAAGATTTATTCAGATAAAAATATACCACAGACTCTAATATTATTTTGTATGATAATATCCTTAGCAATTATCCTGAAGGTAATTATGACTGATTTAAGTCTGCTGTTAGTGTCATGGCTCTGTATGAGATCAAACAGCCCATTAAAAAAAAA